GTGTGGGGAGCTTTTAGTAACCTTGTCTCATGCTTTGCTTGAGGAAAGGCTGTGACAGTGGCTGCCTTGAACGAAGAGATGAGAGTCTGAGAAGCGCTGGACCGAGCAGGGAACAGCACAGATAATGAGAGGGGTCCTGAGGAAAGGAGGCCAGACAGCCGTCTTACGAGCAAGGGAGAAATGGGGCGCAGTGAGCAGGAAGGGGTGTCGGAGGAAAGCGGGGGCAGCAGGTGTGTGGAGGAAAGCAGGGGGCAGCAGGTGTGTGGAGGAAAGCGGGGGGGCAGCAGGTGTGTGGAGGAAAGGGGGGGGGCAGCAGGTGTGTGGAGGAAAGCGGGGGGGGGGGGCAGCAGGTGTGTGGAGGAAAGCAGGGGGCAGCAGGTGTATGGAGGAGGCCTTGCAGCAGGTGTTCATAAACTGATGGTAATATTGAAGGTGAGGGAGGTGGCACACACATTGTGTTTGTAGCCTGCCAGAGAGGAGTCTCTGTGAAGGCTACTGTTGACAAATGTCAGAGGAGCCATGCCTGGCCTGGAGAGAAAGGTGTGCGTGCGACTGATCTTGTAGAAGTTCCCAGCTTGTGTCATAGTTGCCACGACTCTGAGAAGATTTTGGAATCTTCCTGAAGGCACGGCTGAGAAATTGAAGCATACAGCTGCCCTGAGGCCCAGGGCACCACCACACTTCAAAACAAACACCCCCCCCCCAAAAAAAATCAGTCATTTGAAGTAGAAATCAGGATGCTTTCTTGCTCCAGAATATCTCAGCCTGTGTCTCCAGGAGACACCTTGTCCTGTGAGACCTCCACCTCATCAGAAAACTAAGAGCTGTTTCGTAGTACCTTCCATCTACCAACCAGCCTGTGTTTAAGGTTCACTGAAATGTTTTGATTTTCTTTTTCATGGTACAGGTTTAGATATTACATTTGATTCTCCATCTTCTTTTCTCTTTTCATTTTTATTTTATTTATTTACTTTTGTATCTTTGATGTGATTGGCCTTGTGAAGAGACCAGATGTAAAAGGTAACATCTGTCTGTTGGATATCTCTTCCCTTATTGATGTATGTACAGCACCCCCTGCAACCAGGAAGTTGGGTCTGAAGGCTGTAGTTAGGTCTAGGCAGTGACTTCCCAAACCCACAAAGGCTTGGCTGGAATCCTACTGGTCATAGCTGCAGGCACAGGGCTCTGGAGAGATTGGCCTGTAGGCTTCGGGTCTCTCCCTTTTTGCACACACTGAGTTCTGGGTCTCAGTTCCTCGAGTCTGTGCCTTGCACCTGCCCCTCGGCAGCCCTCACCTGTTGACCTCACTTTTTGAGTTTTGCTGGCCTTGGAGCTTTCCTCTTGAGATTCTACATGGTGATCCTGATCTGTTAGCATTTCTACTTTCACCTGGTTGTTCTGGAAAGTTCTCCTCGGCCATGGGAGATTAACGACACAGTCCCTCCCAAAAAGATAGGATAATTAATTCCTTTGAAATACTTGCTTCCAACTTAAAGAAACAGGCTATTTTCCCTTTTGGTAGAGTTCAGTACTTGATTTCCTCGGCCCAAGCTACAGAATGAGTTCCAGACCTGCATGAACAACCTAGGGAGACCTTGCCTCAAACTAAGACAGGGCTGGCAGCATAGCCATGGTGTGGTCCTCAGCCGCCCGCACTACCACATAGTCATTAGCATCAAAGTTTCTCTTACTAGTCATGGAGGAGAAGCAGTATGTAACCTCCCCTCTGGTGGTGAAACCAGTGCCATTTGACCTGAATAGCTGATTGTTCTCTAGGTTCTACCTACCAACCGCTTGACAGAGTTTGCTGAGCCCATGTCTTCTCTGACACTGGGCCAGAGTCAGACTTGTTAGGGTCATTTGCCTCCTCCAAGTGAAGGAGCAGCAGTTAAGAGATAAAAGACCAGCCACGCAGGAGCTGTGGTCACTCTGGGGGAAAGCTGAAGGGTGGGGTGCAGCTCAAGCAGAGAGGGGAGAGGCATAGACGAGAGGCAGTCGGCTGCTCTTCGTGTGCAGAGTGCAGGCAACCACTAGAACATTCTTTCCATCACGGGAAACTCTTAGCAATTCCCTACGTCACCCACCTTCTGGGTTAGTTTAGAGAAAGAACAGGTAAGCAAGCCTTCAGGTGATGCTGTCTGCTCTTCCCACAGGCGTGAATGACAGAGGTGGTGCCTTCCAGTGCCCTCAGCGAGGTCAGCCTGCGTCTCCTCTGCCACGATGACATAGACACTGTGAAGCACCTGTGTGGCGACTGGTTCCCCATTGAGTGAGTGTTGTACACTGTATCCCCAGTGGCTGGGATACGTCTGAGACTGGAAGAGGCAACAACGGGTCTGGCGGGACCATAGTGGTCCGTAGTTGCTATTTAAAGTTAGGAAACTAGGCAGTGAGCCTCGGGCCTCCATATTGGTCCACTGCTCACCTTCCTTAAAAGGCCCTGCTGAGAATTGTTACTAAAAAAGATTCCCAGTGCTGCATGCAATCAGGAAATTTAGGACCAACCTCAGTATAAAAAACTGATTAGTTTCATCAGGATATGTGTATCTAAATGCAGTGTTGATGATGTTGTGGTATATGCCTGGAGTACTAGAACTCAGGAAATGGAAGCAGAAAAGGGTCGGGTTCAAGGCCAGCCTGAGCTACATAGTAGGTTTTAAGCCAGAGTGGACTATATGGGAAAGACCCTGTCTTTAAAAAGGGTCATTAATCATGCAGGAACAAATCTGTTAAAGTAATGTATTTGCTGACACGATTCCTTCCCTTCCTCTTTCTTTTACCAAATATTAAGTGAAAGCAGACTCGAGAACAGATGCATATCATATTCCACTTTCACTTAGAAGCATGCCTAGATAAAAACCTCAGTATACTGTAGAGGAAGGCAGAGGATCCTGCCCTTTGTGAGAATCATGGCCAGCACTTTAGTAAGACATGTTAGCAGGAGATGACAGTAACACATTTGTTTGACCTGAGTGAAGCATGGACTGCCCTAGAGACTATTGAACAGAGTGTTATCTACTCCTAATGGGTTGAAGCTGGAGCACACAGTGAGGCCCATTTGCTTAGATTCTGCTTGGACTCTCTGTAGCACTCCCTCTCTCTGGGTATAGGGAGGACCCTTCTGGAATGAGGATGGCTTAGTTTTATCAATTGTTGTCACCAAATCTCTGATAGAAACAACTTAAGGATGACAAAGGTTTGTTTTCTACACTGTTTTAGAAGTTTCAGGCCATTGTGACAGGTGTGGGGGGGGGGGGGTCAGCTCACATTACAGTGAACGGGAAGTAAAGGAGAGTAGTGGCAGAGAAAGCTACAAGCAAGCTATTGCCCCTAAGGGCATGAAGCCCTCAGTGACCTGCTTCCTTCAAGCCGCTCCACCTACCAGGTTCTGCAGTTGTTCCCAGTGCAGACGTGGAGTCTGTTCCCAGTGCAGACGTGGAGTCTGTCGGTGCCTTCGCAGACATGCTCAGAAATGTGCAGTCCTGACCTCATGGGCACTCTCAGTCTAATCAAGATTATAGTGCTATTAGATCTACTGTCAGACAAATAGGACAAACAATTTCTTCATGGCCACCTCCTCCAGAGAAAATCAGATTGGCTTTGTAGGAAAGGGGCTCTTCTGGCTTCTGTGATTCTTACTGGAGTCGAAGAATTCTAGGTGCCATGGCTGACCTTAGGGGAGAGAATGAGAAGGAAGAGGCAGGAGGCCTGAGAGGTTCGCTTCTGGACTTTCGTTGTGGGGATCATTTACCAAGACCGCAGAGTGTACTGAATTAAATACTTCCAGCGTTTTGAGGTTGAGTGGATTATTAGTACCTGGGGTTCCTGTGTTTTTACTTGCCTTGTTTCTAGATTATTGTATGATACGGAAAAACAGGTTTTTTAGCGAGAAAAACAGACACAGACCTTGAAACCTGAAAGCTAAGCAGGGTCCTGAGTTGTTGGTATTTCATGACTCCTCGACTCACTCATACTTGTTACTCCATCCCAGCAGCATGGTACCCCCCCATGCATCTCTGTTGAAATATAAATTGCCAGCTTCTTAGGAATGTGGGCTAACAGTGCTTTATGAGATAAAACAAACTATCCTTCCAGTTAGTAATCCCACTACTGAAAGAATACTAGGAAATAAGAGTGTCAGTTAAGTGTAGCAATGAATGAGGCCCTGCTGAGGACTGTCTGGGGTTAGATAGATCCACACTGAGTTGTAACCTATACATCCCTTAAGGACCTTACTGTCAGCCTCTCCTGTCCCTTAGCCATGTGTCATGACCACGCCCGTGTTAGAAAGGTATTGTAAACTATTGTATATACCCATGAACTTTGGCTCTTCCTTGAGTCACCTTTCTTGATCTTCAGTGCTGAAGTCTCACAGAGGACCGTTTGCATGGTCAGTTCTCTCCTTCCACCGTGTGGGTCCTGGGTATTGAACTCAAGTTTTGAGGCTTGACTGCAAGCACCCACACCTGCTGAGCCATTTCACCAGCCCTCACAGAATTTTTTTTAAGATTTATGTATTTATTTATTATGTGTACAGTGTTCTGCATGCCTGTATGCCAGAAGAGGGCACCAGATCTCATTATAGGTACCTGGGAGGCACCATGTAGTTGCTGGGAATTGAACTCATGACCTCTGGAAGAATAGCTAGTGCTCTTAACCTCTGAGTCATCTCTCCAGCCCCACGGAATTCTTCATAGACCACTCAGGTCACTGAGGGCCCTAAGGTCTCAGCTCACACTGAGGCTGCCTTGTGCTGTCCCTCCAGGAACTGTCTGTGGAGACAGTTTGATTGGAGGGTTCCTCTCTTTTACATTAAAAAAAATTTTTTTACATCAAAAATTCTCCTTTGCCCTATCTCGAAAAACCAAAAAAAAAAAAAAAAAAATCCCCTTTGGATAGGTGGTTACTTTGAGAAGACACCTATGAGGCTCCTAGAGACTAAGTGATAGGCAGGGCAGCATAGTGTCTGGTGACTCACTGGAGTGTGCTCTCTCCCGCAGGTACCCAGACTCATGGTATCGTGATATCACATCCAACAAGAAGTTCTTCTCTCTTGCTGCAACCTACAGAGGTGCCATCGTGGGAATGATAGTAGCTGAAATAAAGAATAGGACCAAAATACATAAAGAGGTAGGTATGTGCCGCAGTGACTTGGCCTTTGTGGCCGCTGGAGAGGGATGCTGCAGTGGAGTCGTTGCCCACTCCGGCCTGTGTCTCAGCAGCTTGTAAGCTGAGGAGTCAGAGCAGCAAATGGCGCTCGCCCAGTGGGTTATTGATATGGAGGTGAATATATGGACTTTTTCCTAAAGATTTATGTATTATTTAATTATGTGTATGCTTGTGTCACTATATAGGAGTATTTACTTGTAAAGAACAAAGAAGATCCCCCTAGAGTTAGAATCATAGGTGGTTGTGAGCTGCCCACTATTAAACTTGGGTCCTCTGCAAGGGCAGTACATGTTTTTAACTGCTGAGCTACTTCTCCAGCCCTAGTGGAATAATATGAATAATGAATAGAACCTACTAGTGGGCTTAATAAAGATGGCCATTTTCAAGCAGAAACAAGCAGAAATGATAGGTTGAGAATCTGCCCCGTTGCTGTGTGCCATGAAAATGCCTGGGATTTGTGCTGCTGGAATGTCACAGAAGCATCAATGGTACTGTAATTTGTGGAGGGAGATGTTAGGTTTCACCTGGGGATTAGCAAAAATGTTATTTCTTTTTATCCAATTTCATAGACCACTCACAAATTTACCTCCCTCAGAACCCTCAAGAATTTGGATGACTGCTTTCAGGGCAGAGTGTAAGACCACAGCTATAAACCATGTTCTTTGTGGTTGAATTCTGTTAGGAGTCTCCTGTTAATTTTGGTCATGGCAGTGGAGCAGTATTGTTTACTTAAGGAAAGGGAATCCCATCAACCAGCAAATGATTAGATTTGGCTTGAGGTTATTACTTCTTGTTTCCTTTTCTCCTTCCTGTCTGCCTCCCGTTTGTTGGTTTGTTCATTTGCTGTCTGTTTATTAATTTAGGGACAGGATTTCATTGTGTACTAGCTGGCCTGAAACTCAGACCTACCTGCCTCTGCCTCTCAAGTGCTAGAGTCCAAGGTGTGTACCCCACACCCAGCTTGCTTGAGATTATTCCTTTAAAAATTCAGGAAATGAGATTGGAGCTGCAGCTCAGTGGTAGAGTGCTTGCCTCATCCAGTCGTAGTGGAAGAGGAAGAAACATTTCTTCTAGGAACCCAGACCACTAAAGGTTACCCCATTTTATATGTAATTCTATCTTGGTACATTGTTTTGTCTAGCCCAGCTTCCTCCTGAGCCACTTCCTCACATTGCTCACTGCTAAGATAGGGAGAAAGCAAGGGCCAGTCCCCCTTGGATCTGCTATCTTGTTTCACTTGGCCCACGCCTGTTTCCTCGTGATCCCTCCTTGGGGCTTTTTCTTAGTGACTGTCCACTTCTACCATGCACACTGCCCGAGGCTCTCTTGACTAGCATGCTTACCCTTTCCACACATATTTGGGGGCTCTTCTTTTGGCTAGCTAGGGCTTCTGTTAACTAGAGCAGTGAGTTTATCCCCTCCCCCAGTTTGCTGTGTCCAGGTTCACTGTAGTGTGGAGTGCTGGGCAGGGCCAGGGAGCAGGGCCTGGCCCAGCACATGCATAGCACATGGAGCTACTTGGTGAATGGGAAGCAGAAAAGCCAAGTCGCCTGGTGTCCTTTCTGGGAAGAGAAGACCATACAAATGGCAGTGTTCCTTTTTATTAAGTGCTTGGAATAACATGAGAATCTATCTCATGGTCAGAGTCATGACTCAGGAGGCGATTGTGTCCTTAGCGTGCTCTATCACATCACAGTGTGCCACTCGCCCGGCATGGGCAGCAGAGCAGGGTGAGTAGCTGTCTTAATCTGCTCTTCATGGTCACCAGGGACAGCATGTTTCTCTTTACAAACCTTTAACACAGCACTTGGACCTTGGACTGGCGATATGGTTGAGCAATAAAAACCTGGCAGGGAGGGTCCCCAGCACCCAGGTAGAGGGAGAGAACCAGCTCCCCCAGTTGTCCTCTGACCTCCACACGCGATGCTGCACATGCATGCTCACCCAACCCAACTTTTCACTTGCCCACTGTCGCACGTCATGGCGACTGTGTCTGTATGTGACCACTCTGGACAGTTATACTCTTTTATTCTTTTGTGATAGGATCAGACGTATGGCCTTGTGTGTGCCAGACACACACTCTACTGTTGAGCTACATCCCCCTCCCCAGGCTGTCTTTTAATCTACTGTAATGCTACTGGTTCTGATGAAAAGTCCCAACCTAGTCCGCCATCCCAAACAAAGCTCCTGGGCGTGCCTTCTCACTGTGGCAGCCTCCGCCAACAGGGCCTACACCCTCTTGTCTCTGTGGGTCAGCAGGGTGTACTTTGTCCTCTGTCTTCTACCCCTTCCCATCTTGTGACTGCACATGCCAGGATATGAAGAGTGGACACAGAACCAGGTAGGTTCTGTTTTGAGCTTGTATATGCCGTCATGTTGCCCTAACTTTATCTCTGACTTCCCCTTTAGGATGGAGATATTCTAGCCTCCAGCTTCTCTGTGGATACACAAGTTGCATACATTCTAAGTCTGGGAGTGGTGAAAGAATTCAGAAAGCACGGCATAGGTAAGAGGCAGAAAGTTCATGGTTTGAACCACTGCTGCCCCCCAAGCAGTTATTACCCCCTGCCCCTGTCGGTTACTTCTGAGATCTTCAGCTCACAGAGGACCCTCAGTCTCTTCCTTGTACAAATTTGGGGACAGATAATGTCCTCCCAGTGTGTCTCCCCACCACACTGGCCTTCATTGTTTTCCATCCCTCCCAGATCTGTCATGAACAGATCAGCACCAACTCCTAGGACAGCCTCAGGAGGACACAGACCTCCCTTCCCTCGCCTGTGTTGCCAGACATGGTCATGTGTACTGGCGAGATGTTCTGTTCTGAGTAAGAACTATAAACAAACAGAGAAACCGCACTTTCCAGACACTGTGTTACCAGAGTCTCGCCTAATCCACCACACAGCAGTGAGTAGAAGTCCTTTGTTCTACCCAGACCTGTCTTTCTCACCCTCTGGGTTCTGGTTTATACTTTTTGTTGTCTGAAAGGTTGGTAAGTGTTCTCTGTGGACCCAGAACTCCTCCAGGATACATCTTTGGTCCACAGTGGTAGGCAGCTTATGGGAGGGGCTCGACAGTCTGGCAACATAACCCTCTAGACTCCTGCAGACGCCATGGCTTCATCTATGTCCTCTTAACTGCCCTGCTATGGGAAACCTTCCTCTCCTTTTCCCAGGTTCCCTGTTACTAGAAAGTTTAAAGGATCATATTTCAACCACTGCCCAGGACCACTGCAAAGCCATCTACCTGCATGTGCTCACCACCAACAACACAGCAATAAACTTCTATGAAAACAGAGACTTTAAACAGCATCACTATCTGCCCTACTACTACTCCATTCGAGGGGTCCTCAAAGATGGCTTCACCTATGTCCTCTACATCAATGGCGGCCACCCTCCCTGGACCATCTTATATCCTTTACTGCTGGAAGGGAACAGGAGAAGGCTTTGTTGCGGTTTCCTGGCTAGAGGGCTGGAAGAACCAGAGAGTCACTGAAACTGTGGCCACCTGGATGACAGTCACTGGCTTAGCTCACAGCCTTGTTCCTTGAGTAGCTCAGGGTATGCACAGGTCTAATGCACCTGACTGGCTGCGTATTTTAGGAAAACTGGCACTCCCTGGCAACTTCAGCCCAGCAGGAAGATTGGGTTTTAACTCTACTCCACTCAAGAAATATGGAAAGTGTCCTCTTGTGGGGGTCATCAGTAAATGAGCAGATACAAGCCCCACCATATGCAGCCTGTGATGGTGAGAAGAAAGTGAACAATGGCAGAACACATGGGTTCAGACCTTTCTCGTGGAGCTGCATGATCCAAGGTGCATTCACCCACCTCCAATTCTCTCCTCTAATGGTGTCCTTATTAGGTGGAAAGGAAATGAAATGTCCCAGCACCTTGGGGTAGTAATAACCCAGAATACATGTACCTGTGAGTGTTTTGAAGAAGTGATTCATTTCAGAGGGAAGTAAAACAGGAAAGAAGTGACCCCAAGCTCCGTAGGGCCTAGCTCACGTGTAGTCGGGCACGTATGGACATCCAGGGGTTGGCACTGCTGATACATCTCCTTGTTGGGGTGGGCTCTGTCCCTCTGGAGAACTAGGAACACTTGTCTTGTAGATCCTGCCCTGGTCTTTGTGATGATTGCCCTATATGCTCTACTGTACATTATTTCCCAAATTGATGGTCCACTTAATGAGCCTTTCTGGTATTTTTGAACAATGCTGTCATTGATCCAACTCCAAGCAGGCTGCATGTGGGCAGGCAAGGCATATCGGTACTTTCCTTGACAGAACCCACAGACTACATCCAGCACCTGGGCTCAGCACTAGCCAACCTGAGTCCCTGCTCCATCCCACACAGGATCTACCGCCAGGCCCACAGCCTGCTCTGCAGCTTTCTGCCATGGTCCAGCATCTCCACCAAAGGTGGCATCGAATACAGCCGTACCATGTGATGCCATTGGGCAGCCTCCCCCAGGCCTCTATCCTCAGCACTTTGTGGAGCCTATTTTCCTGTCTGTCTGACTTCTGCTGTCTTTTGCAAGGAGCTGGTAGCCACCTGCCGGCCCATCAGCCTGCCCCAGGTGCAGGCCCGGTGCTATGCTGGCTCAGGAGCAGAGTGGATGCCTAGTCTTCAACAGGTAGGCACAGATGGCAGGACCTGGGGAGTCTAGTGCTTACAGAGACAAGAAGTCTCTAGGCAGATACTGTAAGCAGTTCACTGAGGGTCCAGAAGTGGTTTGAAGAACAAGAGGCCAAAGACCTCAAACCACTCGAATTTCTTTTTACTCCCTGGACCTTGTCCATTTGCATGCACATGTGCGCGTTTGTGGAGCAGAGCTCAGCACGGGTCCTCTTCCTCAGTTACTGTCCGCCTTACTTTTGAGACAGGGTTTCTCGTTGTGGAGCATCAAGCTCAACATGGGTCATCTTCCTCAATTATTCTCTACCTTACTTTTGAGATAGGGTTTCTCATGGAACTTGTAGCTCACTGATTTACCTGCGCTGGCTAGCTAGTGAGCCTCAGAGATCCTCCTGTCTCTGTCTCTCAGCTGCCTACCCAGACTTTTTGTGTGGGGGCTAGAGCTCAAACTCCGGTCCTTACGTTTTATACAGCTCTTGCTTTGTTTTTATTTTATTTATCTCTAAGAATTTAAGGGCATTGGATTCCTGGAACTGGGGTTATAGGCAGTTGTGCCATACAGATCCTGGTCCTTGTACTCTGGTCCTCGGAAAGAACAAATGCTCTTAAGCACTGAGCCATCTCCCCAGGACCGGAACAGATTTTTCTTTCTTTTTTTGTTAAAATGGATTCATGTGATTCAAACATTGGGAAGGTACAGAAAGACCAAGCAGCTCCTACTGGAAACTTGGCTTTCCCTTACGAGATGCACCCAATGATCTCAGTCCATGTCTGCTCCTCAGAATTTTACCCAGACTTCCACTCTTACCACCAGGACTGTCACCAGTGCATCTGTGTGTGGCATTGTCCAACACCCTGCATGAGTTTCCTCTGCTGACAGATTGTACATGATAATATTCAGCCTGGATGCAACCATTTGGGTTGCTGAGAGTTGGTCTCCCAAGCCAACAGAACAGAATTGCAGAAGTGGGAGAGGTTTGGGTACTGCAGAGCCCACTCCATTGATAACACACCCAAGTGTGAGCTTGGCAGTGTTTGTATTTGTGTAGCGTTCCGAGGAGCTTGCTGGCCACTGGTAGACTGTGGGCTGGAGAAAGGCTCATGCTTTGGTATACCTGACTCATCTAAAGCCCATAGGCCAGGTGACGTAGGTGAACATCCTGCAGTGTCTTCATGTGCCCTGCTCTCTTCCCTGCAGGCTCTCCTTCCTGCTTCTGGAAACTTCTCCTTCCTCCGGGAGCCTCTGTCCTGCCTCCATGCACTGGCACCATCCCAATGGCCTGGCAGGTGTTGGCTACATTCACTGGAAAAGGGCTTGCCAGGCCTCTTCTGCCTCCTCCATCTCCCTTCAAAATGGATTGAACTTCGCTGTGAAGAGAATGTGGACACCTTTGACCCTGAAGACACAGGAAGCTTAGAATAAAGAGGCACAGGAAAGAGAGTACCAGGTCTTTGTATAGGAATCCCTAAAGAAGCTTAAACGGTGGAAGCAGTTGTCCATGAAAGGCTGGAGGCTGGGGAGAAGGAGTAGGGCTAGCCCTTCAAGAGAACTTAAAGCTTCAAGACTCAGCCCTCGCCATAGACAGTTAGATGGACAGTCCCCTGTTCCTCAGGCCTCCCACTACCCACTTCCTATTGTCCAGAAGGATCATCCTGCCTGGGGAATCCTGGCTTGCTCTCCATATAGCTGACCTACACTGGGAGCTGAGACAAGGACAGGTAGTTAGCTGTTGGCTTCTGGGTTCCTTCCTTGCTCATCCTTCTAGAAGCTGAAGCTTCAAGGTCTGGCCAAATGCAGAGAAAAGGAGGCTGAGCTCTGCATTGGGCATCTCTGCTACTGTGGACCATGGGACTTGGCCTTGGGCGCAGAGGGCAGTCAGTGCCTGTGGACCTTCGGCCTCCGAGGCAGAGGCTCTCCTCAGTACCGTGGATTGTACTTGCAGCATCCCTTCCCTTGCACCCCCAAATGTTTGTTGCCAGAGCCCTGCCCAGTATTGCTGCAGTGTCACTGGGGCCCTTGTAGGGCATCCTCACAGCCCCTCACTGCCAGACTGATTAGGAGCAGCTCTATTGACAGGCCCCATTACTGAGTGCTTCCCTCTCAGCATCTCCTGGCTCGGGGCTCTCAACCCTAGAGCCAGCCCAAGGCTGCTTGACCTCAGAGAGGAAGGATCCTCACAAAGCAGGAAGGCCAAGGCAGGAAAAGCATTCCCCTTCCTCAACAGAACTGGCCAGCAGGTGGCTGGTGTCCTGACTGATCTTGGTTGTGTACTGAGGCTGAGCCCGTGTCCCTGCCCTTTTCAGTCAGTGGTGATCATGTAATTTTCATTTCTGCCCTGTGTGGTCAAGGAAGAACCTTCCAGAAGGTTCTGACTTGGACATTCTTAAATCCAATTCAAAGGCCTCGACCTGTCTTTCCCTCCCTTCTGTTTCCTAATTACTGCAGTGTTGAACATTTAAATCATAGTGTGTAGTAGTCTCATTACAAACAAATAAATCATTTCACTAGTCTCATCCTGTCTCTAATAGCTGGCTCTCCACATTTTGTGCTCTGCCTGTGAAGGCTGGGGAGCTTGCTTGCCACGGTCTTCCTGGTGGCCCAGTCATGCAGGCAGCTGTCCTGCAGAGGAGTGTAAACTTGATGAAGGCATCTATGCTGAAAGCAACGACTGGGCTGTTTCTTAACGATCCTTAGCAGCTGTCTGTCAATTCATACCAGCAGTGTGGCTCTTAGCTTTGAGCTAGGACCTGGTTCAAGCAGGAAACTGTAGAATTAATTCCCTTCTCCACCCTGTCTGTCCCCATCTCCATCAGAGCTTAGAGAAGGCTCCAAAGGTAATGCAGGTCAGGGGAGGTCTTGGCTCTGTTCCCATCCAGAGTATGTCTCTGGTGGATGTTGAATGCTGTCTGGAAACATTTGATGTGGAGGATAGTGCTGGCATTATTGGGAGGCTACAAAACATCCTCCAGGGTACAGAATGGGCCTGCAACAAAAATTTGATCCAGTCCCAAATGTTACTACCCAAGGCCATCAACACCCATGTACCTGAAGTCTAGTCCATCCAGAAGAAGGCCTGTCCCATGGCCATCCTGACAAATTTCTTTGGGGCCATAAATTCATCTAAATCCCTGGTGGGATCAGTGTGGATCCAGGCCAACATACCTGCCTTGGTTGGTTCCCTCCTGGTTCCCTCTTTAAACCAAACCCACATTTCATCCCTTTGTCCCTGGAATGTCATGCCCTGTGTTCAGGCCCAGTGAGACATTGCCTGCTTTCTATTTCTAGAGCTACCATGTTCAGCAGCCCCTCACCTACAGAGCCTCCCCAGACGGCTCGTGACTCCATTACCCCAGGAAAGCTCCCTGGAAGGATGCAGGGCGGGTTTGACTGGATTGACTTGATGACAGACAAGAAGATGCAGGCCTTGGCTTTTTACTGAGGGAAGACCTGAGGACTCCCTGGCTCTCAGGAACCAGATTCTCTGCTCAGCCTGGCCTCTCAGCTACACGTGGCTGACTGGAGTTTGGGCAGGCTGCAAGGGCATGGGCATGCTTCCATTTCTTCCGTCCCTCTCAAGAGACTTCCTCCTCCCTCCCTCATTCTTTGCCCAAACTAGCCCAGGTCTGATGCTGGGCAGCTGTGGGGGCCATCTCAGTGGGAGGGCAGCTGCTGGGACTGCACCCTTCCTCAGGAAACCTGGCCTCCGCCTCCTCCTCGGCCATCCTTCCCTTAATGTCCCCAGCCCTGGCACTTTGGATCCTTATGTCCTCTCCAAGGCCCCAGAGCGGGTTCTCTTGCACAAGGGACACATGGTGTCCTCCAAGGCTCTCCAGGACCTCTTGGGCCTGAGTCCCAAGCCCTCAGGGGGACCAGACTGGGAGGGGACACCCTTGGCTGGGTCCATGCTGGAACTGGAAGCTGAGGAAAAAGGAAAGAGAAGTCACTCAGAGGGACCCAATCTGAAACCCTACCTTGGTGTCCCTGGACCTTATAACCTTCAAGACAATTGAAGAGCTTGGTGCTACGTCCTTGAAAGAACTATTGGGGGAGGGGAATGTCAGTGGGTCATGAACTCTTGTAAAATAAACTGAGGGAGAGTTGCCCAAGGTCCATCAAAATACAGAACAAGGATTAGAACCCAGAACTCTTAGTCCCAGATCTCTGCCTTACACCCCCCATCCCAATGGGTTCCAGCTGTGATCCAGCTGCCTACTACTACCCAGAGATTTCATAAGACTTAAGAGTACATCCCGGTGCAGAATCAGTAGTGGGGCACACGGATAGAAAAATTCAAGATTTCAGCCCCCGGAGGAAGACATTACTTTAGTGTGTCCTGGCCACAGTGTCCTTTCCTAGTTTTTGGCAAGAAGGCTGGGGAACGGAAGAGGCCCATCTGAGTTCCCTTGCATCTTTCCCTCGTGTCTCCAGTCCTTCCTTAACAGAGCTCACCTGTATTTCCCAGGCTGTCCCTGGGCAGTTGGGCTTCCAGAAGGGTTGAGCAATGCCTGTTACCTGGACCCAGGGTCCCCTGTGGCAGAGACAGGGGCCAGGCCGAGCCTTCAGGCTGTGGCAGGCTGCCCCCAGCCATGAGCCGACCTAGCCAGTGGCTTCCACATTGCCCAGCAGGCTGCATGTGGCCTGGCAGGTAGAGAGCCAGGCTCCGGAGGTGACGCAGTCGGAAGTTCTTGGGCTTGCTTGCCTGGGCACCAGGGCCCTGCTGCTGCTGGGCCCCCAGCCCTCCCTCGTAGATGTTGGGTGGTGTGTCAGGGTGGCTGGGGCGTCCTGGGGCCCAGCTCACTCCATCTGCAGGAGAGAGAGCAGGAGTGTGGTGGCCAGTGCGGCCAGCATCTGGGTAAAAAGATGCAAGTACCAGCTTCTATGGCATACCCCACCCCAGGCTACCCAGCCTCAGATCCTGTCTATCCCCATTTTTCCTGTTTGCTCCCCTGGGGCCTAAGAAGCCCAGGACTTCGGCACTGAGATCTCTTTCAGCACTTCAAGCCCTTTTATTGTGTGCCCTCTACCCTAGAAAGAGTATGCTGGCGCCAATATAAGCAAAGAGGGTAAAAGAGGGCATGAGTGGCCCAGTCATACAGCCTAGATTGGGAGTTACTCCCCTCCCAAGCATGCATGTCCCTGGGATCTCCCCAGTAGCTTTGGGCCCAGCTTAGGACAGAATGGCATCTCTGCTATTGCTTCTCCCTGCAGCCAGGCACCTTCTCTTATTCGAAGCTCAGAGAATGCACAGACTAAGGCTTCCATGGAGGGCCAGTATGGTGGGGGAGGAGTGGCCAGGCCTTGTGTGTAGCAGGGCCTGCTCTCCCCTGCCTAGGGGCTGGGTCTGCAGGTCTCCCATGGCAACTGGCTCTTATGATGTCACAGTAAAGACTAGTCTTCTTGGCCCCCTTAGTTTGGGAGAGAATGGTATCAGGTCAGGGGCAGGGTGGGAGGAGGGCAGAGGGATGGGTTAGAAACTTAGGGTAAATCCACTGCTCCTCAATTTCAGAGGAAGACACATTAAAAAATTAACTTTGGAATGCTGAAAAGTCATTCTGTGGGGTGACCTTTGGGGAGCTTCAGCTTCCTCTTCTGTCATTCAGAGAAAGAGGATTTAGGATACAAACCTGGAGAGCTCTGAATCGCACTGAAAAGGTGCTTCCGGGTGACCCTTGTCCAGTTGTCCATCTTCTCACAAGTTGTTAGACAGTGTGTAGACAATGCCATTTTCCCCCTAAGCATGTGGACAAACTGGAACTCTTGCCTTGGTGGTGGAAATATAAAACTACAACTAAATTTGGAATCAACTCAGTCACAAAACCGTAACGTTTCGTTCTCTGTTTTGGTTTATGAACCATTGTTTTTGTATATAGATAATAGTGGAGTTTCACTTATTTGCAGTGGATTTCTCACTGTTCCAAAACCATTTGTCGCAGACTATTCTCTTTGTCCAAGTGCACTGTTGCCTATGTTGGCCCTATTCCACATACTAAGTCCTCAAGCATCTTACTCCTGGTCTCCACCACAATGTCCCGGTCAAGGGTACATTTACATTCTCCACCTCCCCATCTTGGGGCTTTGACCTTCCTCTTCTCCCACCCTTCTTGGCCCAGCTCATCTCTTCTTTCCCCTGTCCTTCTTTATCGCGGTTGCCCCCAACGTGTAGCAGACACCTGGGAGGATTCCCTACAGAGCTCTGCACTGGGGCGTGATACATCAGCACTACAACTCCGACCTCAGAATTAACCAGTTTCCAGGACAACCCCTGGCTCATGGGTCTGGAAACTGGTTTTCGGCCTGTAGTGAAGACTGACAAGCAGTACGTACACGAAATCCCTCCGGGTGCAGTTCTCGAATTCTGCCGAGGGTAGCGTACCTTCGTTCCTGTCATTCTGTGGCTACTTTATGCGTCTTTGACTGTGAGGTTTAGCTGTTTTTAACAAATACGAAGGAGACTCGGTCACATAAAGTGATAGTGTTCTCTATAGAAGTGAGGCAATGGGAGCCACAAAAGGCCCGGAGCCAAAACTGCTTGATGGACGGTGAGAAGCGCCGCCTGCTGGTCTGTGTCGTGCGCGCGCCTGCGTTGCACCGCTTCGCTTCCTGTCTTGTTTGGCCCTGACCGCACGCTGTCCAAGTGCCCTGCGGGTTGCTATAGAGACCGGCGAGCGCTGGGCCTGCGAACTCCAAAGAGGCGAGCATCGTGCCCCGGTGGACTTTTGCGGACCAAACCGCCATGTCTTTCCGCGACCTCCGCAGTAAGGCTGCACCCGGCTTGCCCGTGGGCTTCCCAGAAACTCGGAGCTCCCCTGCTAGACCCCTGTCCGAGCCGTAGGCCCCAGACCAGCCAGGGCCTGACGGAACTCTGCTGCACCCTTGCAAAGTTCTGCCCGTCACTGGCCGCGAGTGGCTAGAACACTTGGAATGTGTTTCGAGCGGCTGAAGAACTGAATGTGTTTAATTTTTACCTCATTTTATCTCAGTTTGTCACAGCCACATTCGCAGCCGCATTAGAAAGGTCATGGGAAATGGAGACTTTTTTTTCTGTGTTAGAGTTTGTAGAAAGAATAAAGTCAGGGAGGTGACTGGATGGATGGCTATTGCTGCTAGATTTTTGTTTTGTTTTATCGTCGTTGATTGTTGTTAATTTTTGAGAATTTTTTTTAAACAATCTGTCACATACTGTTCTTTTGGGGCATTATGTTGTTTATTCCTAGTCAATTCCTGTGCCCTGAGTCCCAGAGGTGAAGAAACAGGCAGCAACAGGTCAAAGTAATTTGGGCAAGAAAAGGCTAGAACGAGCGGCCTAGGCGTTTTGCATCCAGGTTGTCTGATCGCCAAACACTGAGAAGAGAACTTTGCCTGAGAGTGGGGAAGTGGGGTGTCTAGATTAGTCCCTGCTCTTCGGAGACCGTTTGTTATGGGTCAGGCTGTTGCAGTCCACTCCTTTTGTTTCTGTATCTAACTGCAGGTAGTCTAACTTCTCATGGTTCGCACAGCTGGAGACTCTGGCAGGACTGTGTGACCCAAAAGCTTGCCCCCCTCGCGGCGGAGTAGCAGCTATTAGGATCAACCTCGAGTGTCACGTCTTCTGGGCTCTGACGGTGTTCCAGACAGTGTCATGATGGCGGTCCCACGTAGTTTTTGATGAGGCCAGCACTTTGCTAGGGTCGTTGAAAAGCGATGTACTGAAAAGAGTATTCCAGAAGAGTGTTTCAGAATGTTTATCTTAAATAAATACTGTATAGCTGTGTAATGGAGACTCTGTCCCCATCCAACAGTGGAGAATTGCTAGCTTCCCCTTAGCAGGAGGAAGTGTTGGATGAAGCCTGTCTGGAGGGAGACTGCTACTTCTTCACCACCATCTTTCTCTTCCACCATCTGGTGCAGTCCGCCCTGCTTTATCGTACAGGTAGCTTATTTGGAATTGTCAACAGGATGTTTTGAATAGCTGTCTTCAGGAAACATGCGTAGACATCGCACCGCCAGTAAACTGTTCACCAGCTCAGCATATTGTGGGAACTCAATATAAGATGTTGTTGTGTTCCTTTTGATTTGCCGAGACAGGGTTCTCTGTGTAACAAAAACCCTCACTGACTAGAACTTACTTTGTAAACCAGGTTAGCCTCGAACTCACAAAGATCCACCTGCCTCTGCCTCCTGAGTGGTGGGATTAAAGGCATGCGCCACCACCACCTGGCTTTTGTTTGTTTTCTTCTACTTTCTTTCAAGCAGTGTAGCTTTTTTAGGTGCTTCCATCTTACACTGTTTACTAATATGTTTTTACAGTAAATATAAATGCTGAAGACAGTTCAACCATTTTCTTAAAATTTCTGTGAATTAAGGTAACTGATTTTTGAAATTTATGTCATCAAAATACTATAGGATCACTGAAAAGAACGTATGATTTTGAACAATTTTTTCTCATGATGTCTTATGAGGCTAGGTAGTTTTTATTTAGTTGTTTGTTTTTAATTAATTAATTAATTTTATTTCTTTTTACATACCAATCCCAGTTCCCCCTCCCTCTTCTTCTCCCGCTTCCCCTTGCCCCACTCCTCATCTGCTCCTCAAGAGGGTAAGTCCTTCCCTGGGAAGTCAACTAAGTCTGTCCATCAACTCCTTGAGGCAGGACCAAGGTTCTCCCGTTCCCCTCCCCGGAGCCTAGGCTGAACAAGGTTTCTTTCTATAGAGAATGGGCTCCACAAAGTCAGTTTATACATAGAGTAGAGCCTGGTCCCCCTGCCTGTGGCCCCATCTACTGTCCAAGCCACGCCGTTGTCACCTGTATTCAGGGGTCCTAATTCAGGCCTATACAGGTTCCCCAGCTGTCAGTCCAGAGAAGTGAGCTCCCACTAGTTCAGGCCAGCTCATTCTGTGGGTTCCTCCATCATGGTCTTGACCCCTTTGCTCATATTCTCCCTCCTCCCTCTCTTTGTGCTCCGGGAGCTCTGCCCAGTGGTTAGTTGTGGATCTCTGCATCCGCTTCCATCTGTTTCTTGAAGAGGGTTCTAGCTTCTCTTATGGACTATATAGGCTGGTTATCCTTTGATTTATGTCTGGTATCCACTTATGAGTGAGTACAAATTATATTTGTCTTTCTGGGTCTGGGTTACCTCACTCAGGATGTTTTTTCCTAATTCCGTCCATTTGCCTGCAAATGTAAAGATGTCACTGTTTTTTACTGCTGTGTAGTACTCCATTGGGTGAATGTGCCACATTTTCTTTATCCACCCTTTGGTTGAGGGGCATCTAGGTTGTTTACAGGTTTTGGCTATTATGAATAATGCTGCTATGGGCATAGTTGAGCAAATGCCCTTGTGGTGTGAGTGTGCCTCCTTTGGGTAAATGCCCAAAAGTAGTATTGCTGGATCATGAGGTAGATCGATTCCTAATTTTCTGAGAATTCGCCATACTGATTTCTACAGTGTCTGTATAAGCTTGCACTCCCACCAGCAATGCAGAAGTGTTCCTCTTACTCCACATCCTCTCCAGCATAAGCTGTCAATAGTGTTTTTTATCTTCGCCTTTCTGATCAGTGTAAGATGGTATCTCCGAGTTGTTTTGATTTGCATTTTCCTGATGGCTGAGGATGTTGAACATTTCCTTAAGTGTCTTTCAGCCATTTGAGATTCTTCTGTTGAGAATTCTCTGTTTAGATCTATACCCCATTTTTAAATTGGATTCTTGAGTTCTTTGTGTATTTTGGAGATCAGTCCTCTGTCAGATGGGGTTAGCGAAGATCTTTTCCCATTCTGTAGGCTGCCATTTTGTCTTGTTGACTGTATACTTTGCTTTACAGAAGCTTCTAAGTTTCAGGAGGTCCCATTTATTAATTGTTGCTCTCAGTGTCTATGCCGCTGGGGTTATATTCAGCAAGTGGTCTCCCGTGCCCCATGCATTCAAGGTTACTTCCCACTTTCTCTTCAGTGAGGGTCAATGTGGATGGATTTATGTTGAGGTCTTTGATCCATTTGGATAGTTTTTATTTGGGGTAGTAAAAAGGCAGATAACAAAAAGAAATGAAAGCCTCAACTAATCCCTAGAACCCGTTTCCCTGAAGAAAGTCTACTCCATTGAACTTAGGTGTTTCCCAGGTACTGTCAGTTGTGTGTCCCTGCCTGTCTTCTCACAGAGTTGATGGATTGGGCCCCTCAGGCTGCCACTAAGGTGGGGAGAACCAGTAAGAAGGGAAAGCAGAGACAATGAGATTAACTGCTTTCCAAAGTGCTGCCACCTGACAAGGACTGATGGAATTGTGTTTTATATTGGACAGATTTCACAGAGATGATGAGAGCCCTGGGTTACCCACGACATATCTCTATGGAGAACTTCCGCTCTCCCAACTTTGGGCTTGTCTCTGAAGTCCTCCTGTGGCTTGTGAAAAGGTGAGGGTACACCTTATTCATGTCTTAGCATGAATAGTGCTTTGTTTGTTGGCTAATTGGGAACAGGGAACCATCATGATGCAAAAGGAAGAGATTAGTGCAATCCATGCAGGAGGGACTGAGTTGTAATTTGTGAAAAGTCATCAGAGCTGCCAGGCATGATACTGCAAGTATATATCTGTGAGTTCGGGGTCAGCCTGGGCTACATAGCAAGTTCCAGGCCAGCCAGGGATACATAGTGAGAAACGCTCTCTCAAATTTTAAAAATTGAAAGAAAGAAATCACCAGAGTTTACAGTACATGGAGGGTGGGATTATCCCTATTGGAGCGCTGGCATGGGCTGCTCTTCAGCCCTCACCACAATGGCAGGGACTTTCTACACTCAGGATATACTGCATTAAAAATACTGCAAGTGTGGCTGGAGAACTGGCTCAGGCGTTAAGAGCTTGTACTGGTCTTGCAGGGGACCTGAGTTTGATTCTCAGCATGCATGTTGTTTTGGAGTTTTTTGTTTTTCAAGACAGGGTTTTGCTGTAGCTTTGGAGCCTATCCTGGAACTAGCTCTTGTAGACCAGGCTAGCCTCAAACTCACAGAGATCTGCCTACCTCTGCTTCCTGAGTGCTGGAATTAAAGGTGTGCGACACCACCGCCTGGCCTTGTTAGCAGTCACGTTGACTCACACTGTGTATAACTCCAGCTCTGGGAGGACCTCACACCTCTGACGTCAGTGAGCACTGGTAGTAATGTGCACATGCTTACACACAGACCGACACACACATAATTACAAATACAATACTAAAAATATAAAGCAATAAATAATATAGACTTTTCATTGTGTTAAAAGTCTTATGTGATAAGGATTGGCAACATTTTGTGTTAAGAACCAGAGGGTAAATATTGTATATGTTGTTACACATAAAATTTTTAGTCTACATGAGATGCCTGTTGAATATTTTGGAGTTACAGGCAGTTGTAAGCCACCTGACATTGGTGCTAGGAACTAAGGGCAGGTCCTCTGGAAGAACAATATATGCTCTTTTTGTTGTTGTTGTTGTGTTTGTTTTTTTTGAGACAGGGTTTCTCAGTGTAACAGTCCTAGTTTCTCGACCACTAGGCCACTTCACCAGCCCCTCTTCTTTGCTTTTAAAATGTAAAAGCTATTCTTATCTCTCAGACTATACAACTACAGCTGAGAGTCACAAATCTTCTGAGCCCTGGTGAATTAGCAGTAAATAAGTAATTTCAACAACCCTGCCACTTCTAGAGTGAACTGTTTAGCCCTCATGTCCCAAGTCAAAATCTTGGTTATTTCATAAAAGTTGGAAGTTCGAGATAGACTTAGTTTGTAATCTGAGTCCCGTATTTGTTTGTTTACTTATTCATTATTACTTTATTATTGTATCTTACTACTTTATTTATCTTTATTGCTTTATTTTTTACTTGTCTCCACACTCGTATCATGGCACACATGTACGGTGTGGAGATCAGAGGACAAGGCTGTTGAGCTGATTCTCTCCTTCCATCTTTATACAGGTTCTGGGGTTAGAACTCAGGTTTCTAGGCTTACACAACAAACTCCTTTACCTGCTAAGTATGTGTGAATACACCTATGTATATGGGTTTATGCTAGCCACCACATGCATGTGGAGGTTAGAGAATTAGTTGGTAAGCCCTGGAGAGTGAACTCTGACTGCTAGGCTTGGTAGTAGCCCTGTTTACGCACTGAGCCGTCTGTGGTCTGCCACTTAAATCTCATTCTTGAGTTGGAATTTGCTCCCTGAGTATTTTGTTTGCTCTTGAAGTTTTTGCTTAATCACATTGCCTTGGTTGGGGCTTTGGTTGGAGCCTGGAAAACCTCTTGTTAGCAATAATCATCTGCCTTCTCTTTAATGGGCCTTTTTTGCTTTGTTTGGGTTTGTTATATTTTAGTTAGGGTTTCACGATATAAGCCTGGCTGATCTGGACCTCACTGAGATTTATCTGCCTCTGCCTCCTGAGTGCTAGATTGTAAGTGTGCACCACCACACCTGACTTTAAGGACTTTATATTGGATTGGCTCTTGCTTGTTTTTTCTGACAGGTATGAGCCACAGACCGACATCCCTTCTGACATTGAGACCGAACAAGACCGAGTTTTCTTCATTAAAGCAATTGCCCAGTTCATGGTTAGTTCACAGTTTTTTGTTTGTTTGTTTGTTTGTTTTTTGTTTGTTTTTTCGAGACAGGGTTTCTCTGTAGCTTTGGAGCTTGTCCTGGAACTAGCTCTTGTAGACCAGGCTGGCCTCGAACTCACAGAGATCCGCCTGCCTCTGCCTCCCAGTTCACAGTTATTTTATAGAATTATCAAATAAATTAGAAGATGAATCTTATTTGGTACTGTTTTTTGAATTGAGTATCGTGTTTACTTTCTAAAACCATCCCACTGCCAGGTTTCTGTGGAACCATTTCGCCAAAGTGTGTGTGTGTGTGTTTTTGTGTTTTTTTGACTCATTGCTTATATGGTTTTATTTTTTTATTTTGGGTTTTTGTTTTGAGGTGTGTGTGTGTGTGTGTGTGTGTGTTTTGAGACAGGGTTTCTCTGTAACTTTGGAGCCTGTCCTGGAACTCACTCTGTAGGCCAGGCTGGCCTCAAACTCACAGAGATCTACCTGCCTCTGCCTCCTGAGTGCTCGGATTAAAGGCATGCACCACCACTCCGACTTGTTTATTTTGGGATAAGTAATATGTTTTATGGTTCATAAATTTTTAGATCACAAACTTATATGGAGTAAAATGGCGCTCTGCCATGTCTGCCCTAGGCTGAGTTCCAGTCATAATAACCACTGTTTAAAACTCAGCCCAGAGTTTGCTCATGCATGTTTAAACAAATCATAATAATATATACATATATTAATATTTATATTTAATTACATATAGAAGCAATAACAATATACATATATATTCCCATTACTCATGCTGTGTAGCATCTTGCCTTCCTTATTTAGTAGTTTATTTTGAAGAACTTTCCAATGCATATAGAATTTTCCTCTTTCACTTGAGTTATTATTGCTTACATGAGTATCTCACAATTATGTTATTTATATAGGTATTTACATAGTTTATAACTTTGGCTGTTCAAAAAATTCTGTAATAAATAGCCTATGCGTTTAATTTTAGCTGTGAGTTTATGCTTAGAGTTAGTTCTTAAAATTGAAATTACTGGGTCTAAGATACATGTGTTTGTAGTTTGGATGTCTTTATCACAATATGAGACATTTGCAGTGTGTTTTATCCTTATTCACTGAGTTGTTTCAGTTGGTGGCAGAGATATTTTCAAATTACCTACATGGGATTTGGACAGAGCCCTAACCTTTAACTGGGTATGGTAGAGCACATTCTAATCCCATTGCTTAGATAAAACAGGAAGAAATGAGAGCTCACATCTAGCCTGAACAGATGGATAGTGAGTTTTAGGCTAGCCTGGGTTACATAGTAAGACCCTGTCTGAAGAAAAACAAACCAAACAGAACTTTGTCTGTCTCAAAACAGGCCACAAAGGCACATATAAAACTCAATACTAAGAAGCTTTATCAAGCAGATGGGTATGCCGTGAAAGAACTGTTAAAGATCACATCCGTTCTTTATAATGCAATGAAGACCAAGGGCATGGAGGGCTCTAAAGTGGGAGAGGAAGACATCAGCAAGTTCAAGTTTGACCTTGGCTCTAAGGTAAGGATGGGGAGAGTTGGAGGTAGAATGTGCCTGACCTGTGGCACTCCTTTCCTTCCTGGTGGACTCGGGGCGTTTCCATCTGTGGTAACAGTTTATTCTCATTAGTGTGGGGATGAGAGCAAAATCACAATAAATCTAGTTGTTTGAAAGCCTGCTTTTATCAGATGGTAGGGATATAGGTATAATCAAAGAGCGACTTCCTTGGAGGAGTCAACTGTGAACTACCATGATAAGATGTGAAAGATATGAGGGGTCAGCCTTGGAGAACAGCAGACTGGTGTGGGGTGGAGTTTGTGAGGGGCGGGGCTGTCATAAACAGGGCCAGCCTTGGGGCCTCCCAGGGTGAGGTGAATGTATCACAATCCAGAACAGAAGAATCAGGCTGCAGTCAGGGCTCAAAGGGAAGGTCCACAGCATAGCACAACTGAGACTTTTTTTTTTTTTAATCCAAGGAGGTTAGGAAAAAAGACCCACCTCTTTTGAAGGTTTTTTTATTCTCTCATGATGTTCCTGTTATGACATTCCATCTTCCTTTGTTCTCCACAGCTTAAATACCCAACAAAATCTTTCTGGCAATACAGAAGCCACACAAAAGGACACACTCCGTTTCTTTTTTTTTTTTTTTTTTTTTTTTTTTTTTTTTTTTTGTTGGTTTG